TCGAATCCCACTCAAGCCACGGATGTTTGTCCTTGTTTTTCTGTGTTGTGCTGTCCTGTGTACAGGTAGAGGCCTTGCGACGGGCCGATCCCTCGTCCAAGGAGTCCTACCGAATGTCTAATAGATCAAGCCAACTGAAAAGTTGTGGACCCGTAAAGGATACCGGAAAATGTAGAAACATTGTTAAACCGGAAAAAGAAGAATATTGTACATTTATATATTTAGTTCTTTGTTTGTTTTTGTGTTTGTAATGTTTACTTTTATTATTATTATATTTTATTCTGTACTGTTGTCAGTGCTTGGCTGTTATTGGCCTTATTTCGCTGTTGTCAAGAACTCAAATAAATGAATTGTATTATATCGAGTACTGGAATCTTGACCTCAGTAGTTGAAATCTGAAATACTTGCGTAATTGTTCTAGTAGGCCTGATTATAATAATGACCATTATAAGATTTGTTAGTTCCATATTGTTGCAATATTGGCGTGTAATTCGAAAACAGATTTTTGAGTGTGCCAGCTGGTTGGTGCGTGACGTTTTAGGTCTCACAGCACTGGCAACAATAAGTAGTGAGAACGTTATTTAAAAATACTGTATTATATGTTTGTATTTATATTTTAAAAAAATAAATTCCCATTATGTACAGTGAATTTTCCTTTGTTTCTCGCCCACCGTTAATTGTAGAAAGGGCATAACTCCAACAAATATTGACCAACGTGAAGCTTAAACTATGGGATGAAAAAATCTGAAATTTGGCATAAAGATGTAAATTGATTGCAACTAACTCTGTTCTAAAGTTCAAGTCTCTATCTTGCTTTGTACTGATCATAGACAGTTTTTTTTGTTTCATGAAAAGTTTTGAATTTTGGAGTTGTACCCTTTCTGCATTTAGGGATTCATTTGGGTCAATGAGGAATGGAGTGATAGGAGATCGGAGAAAACTGCATGGCAGAGAGAAGCATATTTTGTCTTCTTCACTAAATATTTGGATGCTTAAATTAAATAGAGATGAATTAGTGGGGAATGAAGAAATCATTGGGAGATGAGAAATGATCACAGAATTTGGTCCAAAAATACGAAAGGAAGAGACTACTTGGAAGACATGGGCTTAGATGACAGGCTAATATTAAAATGGACCCTAAATATGGCGGCATAATGTGAACTGAATTCGTTTGGATCAGAATATGAGACAGTATGATCTCCGAAACGTTGGTTAACATCGACCAGACTACACAGCGCAACAACCCAGAAGACGGAAATCTTCATACTCATCGCCCTGATGATGGAGGCAGTATGACCTCTGAAACGTTGGTAAACATCGACCAGACTACACAGCGCTACAACCCAGAAGACAGAAATCTTCATGTCTTTTCTTATTTACACGATGTTTCGGGATTTGGCTCTACTCCTGTGTTAAGGCGATTTGTTGTCATTATACAGACAGGGTATATATTTTATTATTAGTGGCGACATTTGAATCAAATATTTCCCTCTTTCTTTCTTTTTCCTCCATTTTTGTCTGCACGCGTTGAATAGAGAAATTAGTTATTTTAAATCGGTATTGACTTCATGAATTAAATTACATTTTCATTTATACCTTGTTTACTTAGTAGGAGAGCCATCATTATGAATCCGTCAAGGGGTGATGTCGTTTGTTCTCACTCTGTTGACGTGGAAAAAGAATTTATTCTGTAGTCTACATTCTATTGATCAAGAAAATTTCCCGCTCTTAATTGAAACCGAGGGCTGATTACCGAGTTCACAGCAACACACCTCTGGTTCCTACCCTGACGCAGATAAATTCATTCCACATCCTCAAAACCTTTATATTATTCTCACATCAAACCTGGCCTCTTTCCTTCAGGATTTCCTACTAAATTTTTCAAGTATTTATCATCTCTCTCATACGAGATTCATGCTTTACCATCCACATGCGCCTTTATTAACTATCGTTTTTAATTTATCCGGTGACGTGTATCATGAAAACTAAAAGTCACAGGACATTTGTGTTCTAATATTTTCGACCTAATTTTGAACAAAGAATTACAATATGGAGAGCTTGCTCGCGAATTTCGTTTCACTCTGTATATGTCCCAGTCCCGCTACATTCTTACTCAAATAACAAATTAATAATTTAAACACCCTGAATAATACCTTTATGTTGATCTATCTTAGGTTTAATTTAAGGTGCAATCATTTTGTTTCTGGAATATCGTCTTATGACGTTTACGACGGCCACTTGTTAGACACATCACCATGGTGACTCATCATCATGCTTTCATTATTTTGTATAATTAGAAACAAAACGTAAATATGAAAACTGTGGTTATTTCTTGTTAGTAAAAGTTTTTTTTTAAAAACAGGTTAAAAGACATTTAAACATACAGCGTCCATGTAAATTATGTTTACAAATTTATTCGTGAATAAAACCTTTATGAAAAGACGCGGGCACACTGAGCGTCATCTGCGAGAGAAAATCTTAAAGTTTGTTCTGAACGTTAGACGCATTCAACATGGACGCCATTTGCCACACGTAAGATATCCAAACGACATTTACGTCCTCTGCAGCATTTCAGCGTCAACTCTTGAAATAACAGCTGGGATTCTGTCTTCAAATAATTGATACCGGCCATCGGTACACACAGTTCTTACGGCCAATACATCGGTTTGGGAAATGTTGATTAAGAGACGCACTCTCAGTCAAGCTCCAGTGTGGTAGTTCGCCTTCTTGCTGGGAGAACACGACAGGCTCCAGTTCTTGTAACTGTGGGATAAACA